GAGATTCATTCAAAAGTCTTCATTACCTATTTAAGATTTCTCCCCAAGTCATATCATTGATCGTGCCGGAAGTATATAAAGCACTATGTGAGGCATTGCGTTCTTTTGTAAAAGTAAGTAGTTAAAATATATAAACATATTTTGTAAAATAAAACCATAATAATAGTAATCAAAAACACGTTTATTGAGAAAAATAATTAAACAAAGTAGTGAGTCATTGCATTAGCATTCAATTGTTATTTTGTATCTGAGAAAGAGTAAATGCCTGAGAGATAATGTCATTTGATATAATTGTCACCTTTGGAGTAGATGTGGAGTTGGATGAACCTGTCATATATTCTGCTTGGCTATGATTTGGTGATACAACTGTATAATCACTATAATCATCAGCAACGTGATATGACGGGCTTGGCATCACTTGAGATGAAGGGGATGGTGGAGGTGCGAAGGGAGGTGCAAAAATCAAATTTTGAATTTGGAGCAACCGTCTTGAATAAGGAGTAGGAAACAACTAACTAGGTTTGAGCGGAATGTTTATTATAAAGGAAGCAAAGTGTTTATGTTGTCGAAAAGAGAGAAAGAAGTCAGCTCTAAGGCTAACAGAATAAGGGTGTAACATCTCCTGGGGTAAGACTAAACTTCGGGGTTAAAATTCGAAGTTTAGGAAAAGATATCCTTTATAGGTGTCTTCTGATACTAGGTGCTGGGATATGATTAATTTCAGGATTGGAGTGATGGGATTTTATAGATTCCTGAGATGTGGAAGAGGTAACAGGGATACCTTGAGTAGTGGGTAGTTCAGCAGGATTTGATTGATAGGATCTGAATAGGAGACGGCTGCGTTTCTTTATTATAATAAAAGTTTTAAAGATACAATACAAAAATATAATTCCTATAACTACATAAAATATGATTGAATAGTGAGTCTCGTTTTTTAAAATTGAATGTTGATTAATGATTTCGTCAGCGGTAGCTGATATTATTTTTGATTTTGATCTTAGCTCATTAGCATAAGTATCTAAATTTATATTTAATAATCTCGAAGGAGCCTCATTATTCACTACTACGAAAACACACTTATTTTAATACGTAGGGCACAAAGGCGCGCTCAAGGTTAAAATGTTAGGTACGTCTAGCCTGTGGTTGTTTTTTCATAAATTATGTAATTTGTCACTTTGTGATTTTATCTATGTAAATAAATAAAGTAAATATTAATCAATGTTTAATGTTTATCTTACCTCTGTGTTAAACTATTAACTATGTTCTAATTTACTAATTTATGATAAATCAAATACAGTTACTTAACTGTATTTGATTTATCATAAATCGGAGCAAGAAAGCTATCCATGAGCTCATAAGCAAACCAATTTGGTTTAAAAATATCATCTGTTGATGATCCAGACGTTGGGGCCAACGTGTGGAGACGGCTTTAGACGTTAACCTCTAAGATTATACCTTAAAGCGAATTGGTTCTATAATAAACTCGCAAGCAACCAAATCGACTCAGCGCTACGTTTGTATTCAAACATTGTTTTAAGTGAAATTACACAGCATTTTAATAAAAATTCCATGAACCGATTATATTCACCAAGAAGATAAGAACGTTGGACCCGTACATTCGTTCCATCGTGAAAAACGCTTCACAGTACTTATGGGTTGAACCAGATTATTAGAAGCAATGGACACTATAGAATTGTCCATCCATTTTACTTCAAGTACGCTATTAGTAGTATCTTCATTGCTTATCGCTGTCTCATAATACCCTTTTTCATTTGTTTGGTTGTGAGCTTCGGGCATTTTTGCAAATGATGGTCGATGGTCACATACCTGTCGCGCCATAGTCTAGTTGTCAAAGATAATTGAGCAAGTTCAGACTTGTGAAGAGGTTATAACAAAAATAAATAATACGGCAAATTCGTCAATTAGTGTTAGTAATGGTGCAGCAGCCTTACCTGCGGGGCTAGTATTTCCCCGCAGGTTGATATTGCGTTGGAACCTTGTCACAATAACAGCTGCGTGACGTCATCCACCGCCGAAAAGTACAGACAACAAAAAAGTAATAAGTATATAATATGTCAATGTTGATTGTATGTTGTCCTCGTTATTTACGGATGTTTCTTGGGGTGTGTAATAAGAAAAATCGTCCATGGTGTAGTTTGATTGATTCACAGGAAGTTTTTGTTTCGATGTGGATGGTTCATAAATAGATCTTGTAGTTTCAATATTCTGTGGTGCTTCTGATAGTTCTGAATATTCGATTTCTGCCTTATTAACAAGAAGCAATACATCTTTTTACTTGAAGTTGCAACTTTTTCGGCAGACATTGATTTAAAAAATATATATCTATAGGATGTTCTTCTTCGTTATTTTTAGAATCTATATATTCTTTTAATATCTCAGCTGTGGTTATATTTTGTGATCGAGGACTTTTGAGAATCTGAATGTGACATTTGTGATTTAGGAGAATCCAAGAAAGAATCTTGTGTCTCCTCGGAAGAAGAATCTAAATTAGATACCTGCGCTCTATTTTGTTAAAATGTATTCAAGAATTGGAGTTCTCTTTCGTGTTTTATAGGCCTTTGTGGCTTTGCAGAATCACCACTTTTGCTTATTCTATTTTTCATCGCTTTTCGATAGTTGTTTCTGATATTCGTCCACATCTTGAGACATTCTTGAGCTGAAAATAATATAATAAACATAAATGAATGGTTTGTTAGTTACACGTATGTGTCCGGCACCCGCAACACAGGTGATATTATGTATAATGTTTCGTAATCCGTATTGTATGATTTAAAATATGATTATCAAAAGTGCCTAGGTAAAAAAATTCTAAAATTCTAAAATTATAATATTTTTTTAAAATTGGTATTATTTAAATATTTTTAATAATATTAATAGGTACCTAAGCTATATTTAATTTTTTTATATATAAGTCTTTATCTTGCAATCAGTCAGCTAGACTATGAGCAGATGTGTTGAGAGCTGTTAGACGTTTAGAGCAAAATCTCCATCGAGACTTCTCCTCTCTTTCAACCGTGTCTATCAAGACTTAGGATTTGTCGCCATTTAAGCATATTTATTAGGTCCGGTATGGTTAGTTGCGTGGCAAGCTTATTAGGATGCATTTCTAGCCTTTTTCTGTATTACAGCATTATTTAAACAGACTGGTAGGTATGTTTGGAAAGTAGTAGGTCCTGCTGGATGATGATTTTGATGAACTGTGCATGGCTGGATCGACGAAGGTGCTTGCGGATGCTGGTCACGAGACTTACAAGTTACAAGGCGAAATTATTTTTTGCGACTTTATTTTAATAGGCGTGTTCAACACATGTTCCTTTTTAAAAATCTGACGAATTTCTGCCTGCGAAATGGCCATATGCAAATCTAACTTAATTTTTGTTTGCTCTAGCTTTGGTAGCGCCTTGACTGCCTTACTCATACTTTTTTTTTTCTCTGCGGTTATTTGCAATCAGCCCCAAGGCTATGAGCAAATTTTTTCTGTGGTGCTGTCTTGTGGAGTGACTTCCCATTGGAAGCATCTACTCATCTTCTGTCTAGAGCTACTGCCGGTCTTCTAGCTCTAGAATATGGTGACGTTTTAGTCGACTCACATACTGTCTAATGGTGAGTTGGCGAGTAAGTTCATTCGGGTGACAGCTTAACCGCTCTTTGTATTTAGCTGCCAGTCTCCGGATTTCCTCTTTGATAGTTCTCATTTTAAGGTGCTAGTGAACTTCGTTGTTGGTTATGTACCAGGGTACTTTTGCATCTGCTCTTAGGATCTTGTTCTGTTGTCGCTGGAGTATATTTATGTTGGTATCACTTGCGCTGCCCCATAGTAGGAGGCCATATGTCCAAATGGATGTCCAATGTATGTCCAAAAACTTAAAAAGAATAAATCGGTTTCGTCCATATCCTGCTTCAATTGATGCCTTTCTCGTCTTAAATAATTATTATTCTTCATCAATTGGTAAATGTCTTCCATGTCAGGTTTTCTATTACCTGAGACTGATCTCTTAAATGACGAACTCCTTTGAGATTCATCACTCGACCGTATATTAGGTGAATACATTTCTCTGCTTTCTGACTCATTGCTGAACTCAGGAGGACTGTTCTCTGCTGTCTCACTCAATGGTGACTCCGGTGTCAAATCAAATTAGTTTTTGTCGTTCTCATTTCTATATGTGGACGCAAACACATCATTTGGTCTCCGTATTTCCAAGCAGTAATATTTGTTGCCGCTTGCCCAGATTTAGTTTTGCGTCGTTTAATTGCGCTAAGGAATGCGTTTCGTAATTTGCTCCAATTTTCCTTGCATTTTTCAGCTGAAACAATAAATAAGTGCTTATTTAAGTAAGTATTGTTTTAACGGGTATATAAAAGTGTCTAGTAAAACTTTTGTTGGTTTAATGGTCATGAATATAACTAAATAACTCATTAAGATGAGTAACAGTAACAATAATACATAATATGACTTAAGAAGTTATAAAAGAGTTAAGCTGAACCACAGTAACGCTAGGTATTGTAACCTCAAGTTACAATAAGTACCTTAAGTAGTAATAAGGTTTCTAGTAAGTCTTACTATTCCCAAGTGTTCTTTAAGAGTGCTAAGTAAATGTTTTATACCACTTAACTTGCCCAGAAACGTAATATTACTTAAGAAGGTATGGAGGTTATAGTCACAACCATCATAGAACCTACTCTTATATAAATTCAAGTAACGCGAAACACTTAAGCCGGGTTTCCACCGCGAAAGGGTAATGAGCGGGAAATGGTTAGGCGGGACGGACGCCTTTTAAATGAAATAGGTTTATATTTCCACCAACAAAGAGATTTGTCTGTTGATTTCCACTGCAAAAGGAAAATGAGAGAGAGGAATCAGCGGAGCGAGCTGAACGGAAAATGAGAAATGGAAAATGAACAATCAGTTTACACAGAGAGCGAGTTCAGTTGGAGGTTTGAACTGGTTGCGTGCGGTAGTGTTTTTTTGCGAATTTGCGATGTTGTCGAGTGACACGGGATCAAGTGAAGACAGTGATTATGTATACAGAAAGAAAAAGTACATATTATTGTATCTTAAGCATAGAAAAAAACGTGCAAGACGGACATTTTGGTTATGCCAGCACATTCGAGAAAGAACATTGAAAGAGGAATATAGGCTATTCTACGATTTAGACGATGAAAAATTTAATAACTATTACAGGGTTAGTAGAGAACAATTTCAAGAACTTTTGTCATTTGTGGAGGCCGATATTTTAAAACAAAATACTAACTACAGGAAAGCTATTCCACCTCAAGAGAAACTAGCTGTGTGCCTAAGGTAAGAAATAAAACATTGTTCATAATTATTTTAAACTTTACTCAGAATCAAAACAAAGCGGGGAAAAATAAAGAAAATATATAGTTATCATAATCATGTAACGGCGATGGCTCAAATGTTTCCGGCCTACTGTATCCGTGGTAGATCGTATTGGTAGAACGTGATGATCCTGCTGCTGCCGGCATGGTGTTGTTCACAGTCTCTCCCGACGTAGTGTATCCGTCATTGACAGGACGTGATGATCCTGGTACTGCCGGCAAGGTATTGTTTATCGATTCTGGTGTAATGCATGTACTATAATTTTCTAGTTCTTCCTCGGCGTCACTAACGATGAGAAATTTTTTTTTCTTAATACGATTTTGTACCCACGTCAGCATCGTTTTATTAGTGATCGCCATACTCTCCAAAAACAAATCAATGGCATCTATTTCATACATTATTAATTTACGTTCGTCTTTAGACAGTTCTCGCAGTTTTGTAGCCAAAAGCTTGGCGTAGAGATCGCAGTCATCATCTTCTTTACTTGCAGTATGTGATTGACGTTGTCCTAAAACATTAGTCAATTGACCGAATGCTGTAGCCATTTGCTGCTCGGCTGTATTAATGAAATACTTTGATTGTCTCCTCATCATCGTCATAATAATCATTTGAATTTTCAACATTAAGTACATCACGATACTGTCCACTCAAGTCATCATCCTCATCATCACTAGTTATATTGTTGTTGCTGGTAGCATCTTCTGTAAAAACACAAAGACAAAGAATTAAAAAACAGAACGACAAATATATTGTAAACTACAAATCAAAGTACGGTACCTGATTCTTGAAGTGATTCGCTAACGAGTCCTGGTAATTGGTCACCATCAAACCAATAAAAATGATACTGGTTATCTTCAAACGTCCATCCATTGTTTTCAGGAGTAAAAGTAGACGGTCGTTTTTCATTTGCATTATTCCATATGCTGGTAATATAATTAGCTCGGAGAAATTGTTGAAATAACTCAGTTTTGCATGGTGGTAAATTGCTTGCATCGAAATTTTTTAATTTTTTTGGATTACTAATTATAACCACAAACGAACGTAGCATAGCTTTATTTGTTACATACTCAAAAAGATGTCCTAAATAGGTAAAAATCTGTTTTTTATTAGCCGGCAATTTTGATTTTGGGCTCAACTTTGTATTTGTATGAAACATATGTATTTTATTGACTTTTATATCTAAAATATCAACAATAAAAAATAACTTTCGTTGTCAGCAGCGATGATATAAATAATAAAATAATAAATAAAATAAAATAAAATAGCCTTTATTGCTGTTTCTATCTTACAATAATACTCATTAATTATTAATTATACATGCCTAACATAATTACTTTCTAAATACTTTTCTACTAAATTAAATTTAAATTACTTTCGAAGTACTAACTAAATTAAATTGGTTTAATCATTGTATGTTCGGCAACTGGATGTTTGTCTGGAACAGCTTGTCTGTCGACAAAGGCCTCCTCTAAAGATTTCCACGTATTCCTGTCTTTTGCTAAACGAGTCCATACCGGACCAGCTATTTTGTTGAAGTCGTCTTCCCATCATTTTTCCATGGTTCCTAGTGATCGGCAATTTATAGTTGCTATATATAGATCGGCAATTTATAGTTGCTATATATAGATCGGCAATTTATAGTTGCTATATATAGATCGTCATTTGTCTTCCTGTTATTTCTTATCTTTAGAGGGTCGTGGTCATTTTCCCCCACGAGGACCAGTCGGCTTGGGCTCCCCCAGCCGACTGGTCCTCGTGGGGGAAAATGGTTGTTGGTTTTTAGTTATTTGGTTTCTTATATTTTTATGTTGTTGTTGTGCTTTCCAGTTGCCGACATCCAATTGTTACTGTTTATTATCCACGTTACAGGAGGAGAGGGAGTTAGATCTGCCTCTCATGACATCAAAGGCATTGCGCCTATTGTTTTGTAATGTCCGGGCTTGCTGCTTTTTAGCTTGTGAATTGTCTAGCGGCGACGAGGACATTTCTCTCTTCCTTTTTTCCTTGTTTGAATTAGTTTCTTTTACTACAAGTTTATCATATTTAAGATATGCAAAGTTGCCTTTCATTCTTTCCTCTTTCAATTTAATTTGTAACATTTTTCTCTTCCCCAAAACTTCTTTAGAATAATCTTCTGTTATATATATGTCTTTGAGGTTCTTCCGGACTTTCATTACCTCGTTTTTCTTCCATGAATTGATAAAGGAAAACAGTACGGGTCTCGGTTTTCCGTCTGGGCTTTTCTTTCCGATGCGATAAATTTTGTTTATTTCAAAATCTTCAATGTTTATATTTAAGTTTTTATTAAAAATCTTCTTCACCACTTGAATTAATCCTGACGTAGACTCTTCTTCCTCTTTTAATCCAAAAATAATTATGTTGTTTTCCTTCTTATCTCTTTTCAAATATTCCAACTCCTTTTCAAGGTTCATTATTTTTTCCGTTAAATCTTTGTTTTCTGCTATAATAGGTTTTATTTTTTTATCTATTTTCTCATGACAGAATTAGTTATAGACTCTTTTAGTTCCATTGTCTGTTTCTGCATTTCGATTTTCATCTTGTCGAACAGAATTTGAAATTGATCTTCCATGTTTTAAGAATTGAATGTAGCCGATATCACTGTGACGTTTCTAATAATGCTCAGTCGTATTTTCCACTATTCACCGGGTCCATCAATTCGTATACTTATATATTTTTAATCACAACAGTTTATTAATTTTTAATCACGATAGTTTTAATCCCAATAGTTTTTACTCAAAATAGTTTTTACTCGGAACAATTTTTAATCACAATAAGTTTGAGGATTGCACTACCACGACACTTAAGCTTTGAGCACCGGAACTACAATACCCATATATCAATTTTATTACTCCGTGGTCATATGGCTATTAAATTGCCGCATCCAGTTTCATCAGCGATGATATTCATGTTTAATTCAGGTTAGGACTGCTTAGAAGTAGCTGAATTTGTGGTATCATCTTCAGTGTCAGTATGATAAACCATTTCTTGAAGGACGTATTCGGCTGTCTCGTAGCTTGGTAGCTCTCTTCATTTTACGTCACATTTTATTTGTTTCCAGTCATGTTCTGGTATTGATGTCCCAATTTTCAAGTACTTAGTTATGTTTTTTTCTCAGATATTTTAGAATATTGTTATCTTCCCATGTTGATGGTCCTGCTAACAATCTATGTTTGTTGTATTCCCAAGTCTGGACTATTTTATAAGACATTCTGAAATTAATAAAAAAAATCTTGTATTACATGAATATACAGGTGTAGTGTGTGTGTGCTAGGTACAATATATAAACCCGAAAAGATATGTTATTTTTATTTTAATACAAAGTCACTTTCGCATTTATAGTTTTTAATTTAACAATCACTTTTCAAAATTACTGTATTATTAAATTGAATTAGGAATAAATATGGTAACATTAAGTTGGTAACCAGTCATTCCTCATCTTCAATGTGGTTTGAATCGCCTCGCAATATTGCTTCTATGTCTTCTACTTCCGCTGAAGAACCTGTAGAGCTATGTGATGGACTGTTTCGAGGGTAGTTTTGATGTGGGTACTGGTAGGCATTCGTCCATCCAGTTTGCATCATACCACCGTCATAATTATTATGTACACTATATTTTATATTTTTAATAATTTTCATCACTTCGAACCGAAATTCAAAATTCTGTGTTGAGGACATTGTCTTCATTAAATAAATAAACAAGTCTAGTTAAGTATTCTTTCTTTATACAAGGTAATTAATACAACATACAAATCGAGTAGCTATAATATGGGGTGGGGGGGGCAAACATAACTTCAGTTTTAGTACTATCTAATGCCACAAGGCACAAGCTCATGATCAATTGTCAAAACATTATTTAAAAATTATTGAAACTTCTATGATGTAGTGCCTATTATTTCTACATTATTAATGTAATGGAATGGAATACAACCTATTATTTTAATATAAACCAGGCATTGTGGGTAGACAATTAGTTACAAGGTTAAAAAATAACTATTAAACGATATAACTTACGTTCAATCCAAGCATAAAAAAACGCTGACTCGATATGAATGCGCACACAACCAACCACACGTCGAAACAATTCGATCCAAACTAAACCAAAATGAATGCCGCTGCAGGTCTCAACAAAGCGCGGGGCGTTGGGTTGGGGTTGGTGTTGAGTAGGTAGTCTAGGTAAAAGATAGGTAACGAGAAGGCTCGTCTGTGTTCCGGTGGTCTCGTATGGTGAGGGGCGAGGCGCTGGAGGTGCTGGAAACCTGAGGTGTCCGCACGCTCGAACATGCGCCTCGCCAGCTCGCCGATGAAGTCGTCAATGCTTTTTACGCATTGGCTTCTTGCTGGATTTGTAATTGTAATTCTTCCTGTAATGTCAAATCTTTCTTTAGTGATGGTGAATCTAAGTTCTCTTCTACTATTTCTTCTATGTTTTCTTCAGATGTATCTTCTTCAATAACTCTTTCTAAGATTTTTGTCATTTCTGATCGTATGACTTTTTTCTTTGGCATAGTAAATGTATCATCAGATCGGTTTACATTTTCAAGATATTTCTTTGGATTCTGTAAGTATATCAATATTCCTGTTACGTTCGTGCGGCGTTCTTTAATCCTTGTTTGCAGTGCTTCATATAATTCATTACTTAACACTGTGTCATGAGTGAGCAACTTCTCTGAAACAAATTAAGATTTATATTGTACCACCATTATAGAATCGTTAAGTAACGTTCAGTGTTAAAATAGTGAAAATAATAACCAATTTATAGCTCTTAAAAATGGGGCCCAATCGAGGGGGGTAGTAAAGCTTTGGTCTGGTGATCATGACGCACAACGCTGCGGTATGCGGTATGCGTGTATGTAGAGCGTGCTCTAACACTAATCGCTAAAACTTTTGTATGACTCTGGTTTGCCGAAATCACTTATGAAGAACTCTTTTATCACCAATTCTTATTACCAAAATGTTAGTTGGGAAGAGACGCTTCTAAAGGTTCTTGAAGTAACCAAATCTTCTCATCATGTCTAGGGTACTATTCCATCTAGTCACTACGTCCATTTTTAGCTTCAATGGTTTTTGATTAGGCCTCAGCTGGTCTTGCATTGCAAGTAGTTTTTTGGTAGCTATTGTGTTAAATATGTATCAAAATAATGTTTATGTACTACTAGCGACATCTAGTTTGTTATAAAGAAAGTACTGATTTGTGGGTCTATGTATGATTGTCATTGAATTAAAGTCAGTCTGTCAACGTTTGTTTCATTATTATAGGCCCAGACCCGTTTTTAAGTGTATTATGGAAGTTTAAAGTATTATCTTTATCCATACTGCTATAATAATGTCGGTGAATTATGTAGCCAACGTCCCAAAGTTGAAGGGTCGTGAAAACTATGACGACTGGTGTTTTGCGGTGCAAAATGTTTTGGTGCTAGAAAACATGGCGGATAAAATCAAGACGCAGCTTTCAGCATCGGCGTCTGCGAGTGATATTGAAAGATGCTAAAGCCGAGGCAAAATTCATATTAACAATCGATACATCTTTATATGTTCATATCAAGCAGGCAGCTACGGCATATGATTTATGGTCTACGCTTAAACATATGTATGATGATTCCGGCTATATGAGGAAGATTAGTCTACTGAGAAACCTCATTAACATTCGGCTAGAAAACTGTGAGTCAATGGCACAGTATGTTACTCAAATTGTAGAAACGGGCCAGCGACTTCGAGGAACAGGATTCAGTATAACCGATGAGTGGATTGGAGCATTAATAATGGCCATCGAGCATTCTGGAATTGAGGTTAGTGCAGATATTGTAAAAACAAAATTGGTAGACATGTGTGCTGATGATTATGTTGGTACTACATCCGGTTCAGAAAGTGCATTTATTGCGAAAGGAAGACAAAGATTGAAAAGTGGCAATACTAAAAGCGGCCATATTCATAGACAATGAGATATGACGCAACCTATCAAAATTATAAAGTGCTACAAATTTAAACAAACTGGTCACTATAAAAATCAGTGTGCGCAATCGAATAATACTAAACGAAAACAGACCAATGCCTTCAGTGCTGTTTTTCTGAGTGGAAATTTTAATAAGAACAGCTGGTATATCGATAGTGGCGCAAGTAAACACATGACTGCAAACAAATATAACCTCACGAATGTATCGCAGCAGCAGGAAACCAAAGAAATTATTATCGCAAATCAGACTAGAGTTTCAGTGTTGTGTTCTGGCGACGTAAACATCGTTACAGTAGTCAATCGCGAAGAATACGACGTTACAGTTACAGATGTATTGTATGTTCCGAATTTAACCACTAACTTGCTTTCTGTGAGTCAGTTGATTAGGAATGGCAACAAAGTAATTTTCAAAGGAGAAATTTGCTATGTTTATAATCAACAGAAAGAACATGTTGGCCAAGCAGAATTAGTTGATGGTGTGTATAAATTACAAACGTTACAAGTCGAAGAAATATTTGCAGCACCTGCAATAACATCATGTGAGACTTGGCACCGGCGATTAGGGAATATCAATAGTAATAGCCTGAATAAAATGAAAAATGGAGCTGTAGATGGAATCACATATCCTGAGGTGGTAAACATAGGCAAATCTTCATGCACTGTTTGTTGTGAAGGCAAACAAACTAGGTTGCCTTTCAAGAAAAGTTCATCAAAAACAGAGGATGTGCTGGAGATTATTCATGCAGATGTTGTAGGTCCTATGGAAAATCAATCGATTGGAGGATCAAAATACTATGTTTTGTTTGTGGATGAGTATAGCAAAATGGCATTTGTTTATTTTATGAAAGCTATAATAATGCACACTGCATCCATTATTTTCAAGAATTTCAGAGAATGGTAGAAAACCAAAAAGAAAAGATAGTCAAGGTTCTTCGAACTGATAATGGAGGGGAGTTTTGTAGTCGTGAATTTGGCCGTTATAAGCAAGGTATAGTTCACCAGAGAACTAATGCTTATACACCAGAACAGAATGGTCTCTGCGAGAGGATGAACAGGTCAGTAGTTGAAAAGGCCAGATGTTTGATCTATGATGCTGGATTAGAGAAGAAGTTCTGGGCAGAAGCCGTCAACACATCAGTATATTTAAGAAATAGATCAGTTGTCACGGGGCTGAATAATAAGACTCCTTATGAAGTATGGACTGGTCAGAAACCAAACCTAAGTCATTTGCGTATATTTGGCAGTGTAGTCATGGTTCACATTCTCAAGGAAAGACGTTTGAAATGGGATAAAAAGGCCAACAAGCTGATTTTTGTAGGTTATGCAGAAAAAACTAAAGGATATAGAGTATATGATCCTGTAACTAACATTGTCACAATCAGCAGAGATGTAGTTGTCATGGAAAGTCCAAACCAGAAAATGGTAGAAATACCATTGGAATGTAAGCATCCAGTGGAGGTAACTGAGCAAGAGAATTATTATGAAGAAATTGAGAGCTCTTCCTCTAAAGACGGTTGTGGGTATGAAACTTATGTCCCAGAATCTGAAGTTTCAGTGAGTACTTACAGTGATAAGACATTTGACACAGTCTCAGACCCAGGTGTTGAACCAATTGAGCCAGAGCAATTACCCAAACGCACTAGAGTGAGACCAGATAGGTATGGTTACAATAACTTGTGTATGGTGGAGTGTGAAGACAGTAGTCAAGGAGAGATTACACTCGGAGAGGCATTTAATGGTCCAGAAAGTCAATTCTGGCGAGCCAGTATGAAAGAAGAACTAAAATCTAAATTTAAATTAAAAGACTTGGGAGAAATTAGACAGTGCTTAGGTATGAGGGTCAGAAGAAAAAAAAGATGAGATTTTTGTAGACCAGGAACAATTTGTTGATCATTTGTTGAATAAGTTTAATATGAAAAATTGTAAACCAGTTAGTACACCTATGGAGGTAAATTTAAAGCTTAAAAAGGGAGACACTTGTTGTACTCAGTATCCTTACCAGCAATTAATAGGAAGTTTGCTTTATTTATCAATGTTAACCCGTCCTGATATATTTTATTCTGTTTGTTAACTAAGTCAGTTTAATAATAATATAAGCAGAAATTGCAGTGGGTAGTTTCGATACCCACCCGCCTTCTAAAAAAGAAAGGCCTCAATGTGCTACGGGCTCATTGGTTGCTCGGACGTAAACAAGTAAGGTGGTTGGTATCGAGGCCGCGCATACTGTTCGTTCTATGTTATTTTTATTCGGTGGTTTTGGTGTAATTGTTTTACGGTTAACGGTTGTTTTTAAAATACCCAAAGTCGTGTTGTTTTGATTGTATAAGATTAATTTTAAAGTAGATTTAGTGTGATTTCAAATATACCGTGTTTTGTTCTTTAATGAAGTTATTTTTGGTTAAATCACTTCTTAGGTTATTTCGAATTGTTTTTTTATATTTGATTATTACTCCTGGTTGCTAAAATCAGAAGTGGGATAGGATTTCGCTCACAAATAAGCCTTGTAAACAACCGTTAATTTTAGAATAAGTTGCCACGTGCCGTGAACGGTCAATTAGGACGAAGCCGCCTCGCTCTGATATTAAGCGTAGCCGTCGAAAGCGGTCTGTGCGAAACAATAGGCAGTGTTCAAGTCATGATGGAGTGTGTTCATATTCGCGTCACAATAGTGTCGTGACGGGTCGCATTCACGTCGCGTTATGTTACGTTCGCGTCGCGTTAGGTCGCATTCGCATTCGCGCCATGGTAGGTTAACCATTGGGACGACTATGATTGCTTCTCTCGTGTGGCTAATTGCCTAAGAAGTGACGCAAAAGCCTGGTTAAACGAGTGGAAACTAACGAGCGTTCATGGCCAAATTTCGTTAACTCACACACCAGATGGGGTACTAGTAGTGAATGCTGTGAATGCTAACCAATTTGACAGCATAAATACGCCTCTCGAAGGTGTAGAGTTTGCTAAGTTGATCGCTGTCATTAAGGAATTGTCTCCGTTTTTAATATCCGGTACAGCAACTACAGCGGTGACTACGGAGGCTGGTAGTGTGCTTATGTACATTGACGACGTTCTTATTGTAAGTATGTCTAATGACGACGGTATTTCTCTATTACGCGATGTTTTGAAGACTAACAGAAGCTGGATTCTTTGTCAATTTGCGAAAGTGTTCTTTCCTCACAACTAAAATAGAGAACTTAGGTCGTGTTATCAGTTATGGTCAGGTTAGGCCGAGTCTGCATAAAATTGAAGCGTTGCATTGGTTAATTCACCTACTCTAACTAACGTTAAGCAGGTACGTCAATTTTAAGGTTTAGCTGGATACTTCCGGCGTTAAATTGAAGGCTACGGGACAGAAACCGCATGTATATCGCGTCTCACTAAGAAAGACGTCAAATTTGAATGGGAACCCGAACAAGATCAAGTCAAACAAGAGCTCTTAAAGCAATTAACCAGCGAGCCTATACTTGCGATTTTTGACCCGAGCCTTCCCACTGAACTAAACACCTAGCGTCTAGCAGTGCAGGATATGGTGCCGTGCTTATGCAGGCCCACACGGATGGTAATAAACGAGTGGTAGCCTATTTTAGTAGGGTTACCCAGGGTTTGGAGTCCAAGTATCATTCATATGAATTAGAAACGTTGGCGGTCGTCGAGGCTCTGCAACATTTTCGGCATTACCTGGTTGGTATAAGTTTTAAGATAATCACCGATTGCAATGCCTTGAAGGCCACCGAACGTAAGAAGGATCTTCTTCCACGAGTTGCCCGCTGGTGGGTATATTTACCAGATTGTAATTTTACTTTTGATTATAGAAAAGGGGCTTTAATGCAACAAGCTACGTGTTGAAGTAGGCAACAAAGGTTCCCAGTGGTCCGACGTGCTGTGGAGGATACCTACAGCTCACTTTGGAGGAACATCTCCAAGCAAAGTACCATGCAGACTTCACCACTGCAGTTACTGGTCGGTATCGATATGTGATCTGTGGAGTTACTGGTCATCAGATCGTTAGTGTGAGATGTGGCAATTACTAACTCTAATCCCAATCGAGAGGCTCTCTTAACTCTTCGCAGGTGACGAGCTTCCGAACTGCTTGCAACCGGTCGATGGTGCCGGGATGCCTGCGTTAGCGGGAGTCGACGGTGGCCGCACGCCTTTGCTGTCGGAGACTTTGTGTTTGTGAGCAAGACTGCACAAATCACCGGTGAACTGGACCCTGGCATGCGTGAGCCTTACAAGGTTATTCGCGCGCTACCGTGCCACCGCTACGAGTAAGAGCTACTAGCTGGTTCCTGATGTTGTGGGACGCCGGATGCGTGCACAGTTTCCTTCGAAACTTGACTTTGTGGTGCTAATGTGTTTAGACCAATTTGAGAACATACAAGCGTATGGGTCTCTGTTTTAAACTTTTGTGGTCCTAATGTGTTTAGACCACTTGGAGAACATGCAAAGGTATGGGTCTCTGTTTCATATTTTTGTGGTGCTAATGTGTTTAGGCCACATAGAGAACATGCAAAGGTATGGGTCTCTGTTTCAAATTTTTGTGGTGGTAATGTGTTTAGGCCACTTAGAGAACATGCAAAATGTATGGGTCTCTGTTTTAACAAATTGTCGCTTAGGAGAGCACTAGGAGCCACTGTCGTTGTGACAGTGTATTGCAAATATACTGAGTTTTATCTTTATTCGTGTTAAGTCTGAAGCTATCTAATTGTGTAATATTTGCTTTATGATAGACCTTATCTATGTGCGCTTGAGTGCACGCTTGCGCACATGGTTCTGGTAATGGAGAAATAGAGATAAATGTAATTTTTCGTCCCTACAATTCAAGATATACGCTTCAGGCTATGACACGAAGCTAGGTAGATTACTACAAGTTCCAGAATACAAGGGGTATTCTACGTTTGGCTCAGATGTGACGGACGTTTCGGTTGTGTTTAGCGGTTATTCTCTGTATTAGTTTCGGTCTTTAGTTGTGTTAATTATTATTTTTGGTCAATTAAGATTTTAGTGTTGTAGTTAGTTAAATCATTTTGTAAGGAATGGAACTTCAATCAAATCAATAACATAGAACGGCCCTTGAACTGGGCGCAGATGGCTAAATCAGCTGACTCCGAGACCGCCGATCTCATACGTAAGCTCGGAGAAGGTAATTTAGACCCTAGACGATACGTATGTCAAAACGATGTGCTCTATTATCGTTGTTCACCCGTTGGTGAGGAGCCGCGTTTGCTTTGTTATATACGTAATAGTCACAGGCTTAGCTTACTGAGGGTATTCCATGACGAGCATGAACATATCGGGGTTGACAACACTTATGACCTAATTTTAAAACACTTTTGGTTTCCCGGTTTAATGCAATTTGTTCGTAAATATACGACCCACTGGGTCAGGGTGCATTTCTAAGAAACGTATCCCAAGAGCCCCACGTCAACCCATTACATCATGGGAAAAGTATGGTGCCCTGAGAGTTGTGCCGCATTTTTCGAAAGTAAGTTTCAACCCTGTTACTAATATGTTATTTCCTTATGTTAAAGATGCGCGCGTGATATGTTCCCTTGCGTGCGAGTGTGAGGCAACTGTGTGCCTTGCTGGTTGAAACGGACTGCCAATGTGGTGCGGTCATGGTGTGTTCCTGAGGCCAGCAACCTTGAGAAGCGGGCCTCGGTAGACGTGCATCCTGTGCGCGTGGCGGGCGCTGTCCCGGAAGATGTGTTCTTTGAATACATATCAGGCGCAGTCCTGGCAGCCTTAGGGCTGGTGCTCTTTTGAGAGTGTTACGGGCGCTGTCCCGGTTGGTGTGTTCTTTGAACGCACTTCAGGCGCAGTCCTGGCAGCCTTAGGGCTGGTGCTCTTTTGAGAGTGTTACGGGCGCTGTCCCGGTTGGTGTGTTCTTTGAACTCACTTCAGGCGCAGTCCTGGTTTACGTTGCTAACGGGGGAACTTGTACAAGTTCAAGTATGAGAATGTGTGAGATGTTTTGTGAGATGATGTATGCATACTTTTGAAAGCGAAGTGTTTTAGCTAAAGTTGTGGAAGTGTGCTTTTGAATCAGGGCCTTGGATGAGTGATGAATGACAGACTAGGCACTAACGTAATGTCGTCGTGATTAACTAACAGAATAATTGTTGCACAGATTGCGATGACGAATACCCCGATGACGTTAGTGAGCCTTCAGCAGCGTGTACTAGTCCTGCTGCTTCCTCAAGAACACTCGAACCACATATGGGTGAACATGGCGACCAAGATACCGCCGTGACTTCCACCAGTTCTTCCAAAGAAGAGATCAACAGTGCATCCGAGGACGGTGCACGGTCAGGAGAGGCCGTATAAGCAGAAATTGCAGTGGGTAGTTTCGATACCCACCCGCCTTCTAAAAAAGAAAGGCCTCAATGTGCTACGGGCTCATTGGTTGCTCGGACGTAAACAATTAAGGTGGTTGGTATCGAGGCCGCGCATACTGTTCGTTCTATGTTATTTTTATTCGGTGGTTTTTGTGTAATTGTTTTACGGTTAACGGTTGTTTTTAAAATACCCAAAGTCGTGTTGTTTTGATTGTATAAGATTAATTTTAAAGTAGATTTAGTGTGATTTCAAATATACCGTGTTTTGTTCTTTAATGAAGTTATTTTTGGTTAAATCACTTCTTAGGTTATTTCGAATTGTTTTTTTATATTTGATTATTACTCCTGGTTGCTAAAAATAATTATAATGAAACACATTGGAACCATGTAAAACGTGTTTTAAAGTACTTGCAAAAAACAAAACATTTTGGTTTAAAATATGTCAAGGATGATTTAGATTTAATAGGCTATGCGGATGCTGATTGGGCATCAGATTGTGTGGACCGTAAGTCTTATACAGGTTTTATGTTTAAGATGTCTGGTAGTGTCATCTCATTTGAATGAAAAAACAATTAACAATAGCTTTGTCTAGCACAGAAGCTGAGTATATGGCTATATGTGAGGCAAGTAAAGAAGCCATTTATTTAAGGAACTTGTTAATAGAATTGAAATGTAGAAATGAGTCACCTATACTATTATACATGGTGGCCAAAAAGTCGTGGATCAAACGCAAATAGGAGATAGATGAGGTCATCAGCGGCAAAAAATTGTTCTACGGGAGGTCTCTAAGGTCAACCCCTGCAAAGTTATGATTTATTTTGCGTTTTATTAGAAAATTGACTTTTTTTTATATTTTTATTTATTTATTTTTATTAAGTAAACAATTTATAATAAACCAGTATTAACAAAATATACAGTATTTACAATTTTCTTAACCTATAAAGTAATAATAAAAATAATTAAAGAAGAAAGAAGAAAATCAAAACAAATTTAAAAAGTTTGGTCCCTGTGGCAGTGTACCTTTAACGCTGGCAGCATTTCCTCGCTGTATTGCGAGACTTTTTCTTTGAGCCAGGAAAGTGCCAGCTCTGTGGTCACCGGTACTATCTACCAGGCGCCAACTTAAATCTTTAATAAGCGCCTGTGCACTTGAACCCCACGGCCCAAGAGTCTCTACTCCAAAGGGAACAAAATTGAAGTTGGAGGAAAGACTTATATTTGTGCCGTTTGTTAATTTCTGCCTGTTCTGCGGCCGCGCCAGCTTTTTTGCTTGTCCGAAGGAGATGAGACGGGGCAAAGGTGTCTACACAGGTAGCATCCCATACTAAAGCTCGTCCCATTTTCCAAGGGATCAAAGACATTCCATCCGGCCGCTTGCCATCGTCTCTTGCGATGCCTGTTGGCTCCAAAATTGCTGGAACATTGACGGAGGCAAGAGAGCGGCGTATAATGTCGTTTAGCGCGGCATGGCGAGAAAAACGACCTGCACTCTTTTGGCAGTGTAGGCCATGGTGTCCAAGGCTACTTACTTCAAAACCACAGGGACACTTATGGGGAGTACATATGGGCACTCCTAAGCGGAGGCTGATGGCAATTCGAAGTGATTCAGGGTCTAAAAGGGTGCCAGTGTTTGGCGAAGGATAAGCATTAAGCCAATGTCCAGCTTCCCTAGACCCCACAGCCATCAACCTTGCACGGTCTGTTATTGGAATGTGACCTAATAACTTTTTGAATTCACATTTGCAAAGAGGATCTTCCCAGCTCCTTTGAAAGTTGACGCTAGAAGGCAAACTCAAGCCTGGGTTGGATGCTATCCACGCGTTTCTTGCATCTGTTAAATCCGCAATCTCGTAGTTTGTAGAATAATATCTAAGGATTTTACCTACCAGACTGCTAGATTTGTGAGCAGATGAGAGAAACGCTGGAAGAGCTACACTTGTTATCTTGCGTACTCCTAATCCGCCAAAGCGAACAGGAAGCGATGCTTGATTCCAAGAAGGTGTATCAAAACGAACATTTAAAATAGATTCCAAAGAAGTTTTTAAAAGATTATCCAAATCACTTAAAAAAACTGAATGATTCCATAGAGGGCTACAGCGAAGTACGTAAGTTAATTTGGGAATAAAAAGGCAGAATTTTAAAATGAACAAAGCTGAGTGTGCTGTAATATCCAGAAGACGGTGAGAAAGATCTTTAAATTTTGATATTGTCGAGTTAATGTATTCTTCAAAACCTTCTTTATCTTTTTCTTTATTTTTTTTTTCTTCTGTATCTTTCTCATAATATCCACTAGATTGGTACTGATGAGTTCTTGCGTTAGACATACTATTTATAGTTGTTTATTGAGTGTATTCAAGATAATATTAAGTGATACGATATAACATTTTTACAAGTCATAAATTTTTCTTTACTTTGGACCCCACTGTGAAAAAAAATTAATTCACCGAAAAGTGTCCCTGTATTACAAGTTTTGGCGCATTTAATATGGGTTCTGAAAAGGTATTACACATGGCCTTGAGTCGCTCTAATATCTTTCTAGGACGAAAAATCAACAACGATTCGGACTTATGATAGATTATTTACCTACATGTGACCAGTACTGTGTGAATCGGACTAGATTCAAAAAATTGGACAGATGGCTGGAGGGTTTAGTAGGAATTTGATTAGACGGTGCAGATTAAGTATTATGGTCAGAGTCAGGAATTTTGAGCATATTTTGTTTCCTACAAACAACCATTGAGAAATAATTGTTTTAATACAATTATTATTTCACAATCGTTGTTTGTAATTCTTCCTAGAAAGATATTAGAGCGACTCATGGCCACGTGTAATACCTTTTCAGAATCTCTATTAAATGCGACAAAACTTGTAGTACAGGGACACTTTTCGGTGAATTAATTTTTTTTCACAGTGGGGTCCAAAGTAAAGAAAAATTTATGATTTGTAAAAATGTTATATCGTATCACTTAATATTATCTTGAATACACTCAATAAACAACTATATATCGTATGTCTAACGCAAGAACTCATCAGTACCAATCTAGTGGATATTATGAGAAAGATACAGGATGTAGATATTTTCGAATTTTAAGAAGAATTAGTAAAAAAAAGGCAAAATAAATCATAACTCTGCAGGGGTTGACCGTAGAGACCTCCCGTAGAACAATTTTTTGCCGCCGATGACCTCATCTATCCCCTATTTGCGTTTGATCCACGACTTTTTGGCCACCCTGTATAATGACAACCAGAGTGCACAATTGTTAACTAAACATAGTTTATTCCAAAAAAGAAGCAAGCATATTGATGTTAGATTTCATTTTGTTAGAACAGCTGTTGAAAATAATTTTATTGTAATAGAGTACTTAAATACAAATGATATGCCAGCAGATATATTAACAAAAAGTTTATGTTGCCAAAAACATTATAATTTTGTTAACCAGTTAGGTGTCACTCCATTGTAGAATGAAATTTGTTCACTTTACTGTGTTTCAAATGATTAGTTGTTTTTTCGTTTGCCTATATGTCAATTATTTTGATAAGGGAGTGTGTTAAATATGTATCGAAATAATGTTTATGTACTACTAGCGAAATCTAGTTTGTTATAAAGAAAGTACTGATTTGTGGGTCTATGTATGATTGTCATTGAATTAAGGTCAGTCTGTCAACGTCCACCGTTGTTTCATTATTATATATTGGACCCTTGTGGAAATGTTCCACAATGGCTTTTATTTTTTTTTATTAGCTCCCGAGTCCACAGTCCTGGAGTCCTGCACGCACGACTAAATTAACAGTGTTCATAAATTGTTAATCGTATAGCCGCCTTTATGTTCGCTGCGTTATCTGTAACGCAGACAAATATTTTATTTTATATACTCCAATGCAAGAACAACCTATACAGCTCATTTTTAATATATTCGGCCTTGTGTCGCTCTTGTCATTCAAAACATCCTAATGGGGACACGTAATGGTTTTATGTTATAAATGCAGTTTTATAGTCCTTGAGAAACTAAAACATAAAGTGCAAAAATTTTTGTTCTACGACCAAAACTGACAAAGTTATGGGCAAAATACCGAACAAGGTTTACTGACCGCGCGAATGCAAGCGATGACGTCACAATATCTTAACGCTTGCCGCCGAACCACAGCGCGCCCCGCGCTGTTTATTCTGTTCGCGATACTCGTCCAACACGGAGCGTAACGTCACCAGTTTATACCCAATCGATTAATAAGTGATTTGATTTGTTTAATATTATAGTGTATTTCTCAGCTAGGCGAAAAAACGATCATTGACTTTTGAGCGGATCACAGAAATAAACAACATTTTTTATGTTTGGCATAAATTTTGAATTTTTTACAAGTTTACTACGAACTGGCACATTAATGAGCGATGAGGTTTAGTAATTATTGAACAATTATGTTAAGGTGAAACGACACCAAAGTGGCGAAAAAAAAAAACAGGTTTGTATGAGTATACATTAAGTATATTAAACAGGGATGTCACGTTCATCAGTGTCAGTTTCCCAATCGTTTTCTGATGTGCACGAGTCTGTCACATTTATTATAAAACTGTCTACAGTTTTATCAATACTGTCGTCCAGTCTATTTAATTTTTCTTCCTCTTTCATTATGTGTTCAACACAGTTCTTCCATTTTAACTGATTTATATTATTAAGCCCTTCTTCAAGCAACCCTTTCACATCAGCCATTTTAAAAGTCGTATTATTTCTTGCCACATGGCCTTTTACATCAGCCCAGACTAGCTCAATCGGATTGAGCTCGCAGTGGTACCATTTCGTCGGTCACGTAGGATTGGTATCTTTCCTTTACATTTTTAACTTTTTCTAGTAACTCTGATTTCGTCTCCTTAACTTCAAATATTAGTTCTTTTGAAGAAAGCCAATCTTGGATGGCTTGCTTTTTCCAACTGGTGACCGGAACACGTTCTTGGCGCCTAGAATGGTAGCTTGCATTGTCCATCACGATCACAGAATTTGGTTCGAGCTTTTCAAGAACATTTTTGAACCAGTTTTCAAAACCATCGGCGTTCATCGTCTCGTGGTAATCTCCCGTTGCCTTATTTATTTTATCTTATTCTCGAACACCCACTGACAACCAGGTAGGAATCCCTTTTCGTTTCCTATGTGGACTACAATCAGGCGGTTTCCTTTGGATGTGGGATTTTTTGCTCCTGTTGACACGCCTTCTAAAAAGGCTTGTTTAGCCGTTTTCACCGTCGTATCCTCCCAAGCTTTGCTCACAGTATGACCTTAAAAAAACGACATATTATATTGTTACTTCAGGAACAATAAGAAAGTAACCATATCTTAATTTGATGACATTGAAATAAAAAGAAATAACAATAACAAAAAACTTGAATTGGACTTTGTTACTCGTATCGTATCCAGTTGTTGTATATTTCTAAGGGAGACGGTAATAATTAAATTCCGTAGGGTAGAAAGAGAAACAAGAATGTAAGTAGCCAAAAGCCGAGTCTCTACCTGGGTCAGGCAGATACAAAAAAAACTGCACATTTTTTATGAAAATAAGTTTAAAAACAAGTAGGTACCGTAAATCCATGTCACATATTATTTTCTAGGCTCGTATACATTTACATTTGTCTTTCTCCTACAATATTTAATAATTTTTAAATATACGAGCGAGAGCGCGAGAGAGTGTGAAGTTATTTATTATCTCAGTTTACAAAGGATTTTCGTGTAGAACTAACCTGCATTCACCCAAGTTTCATCCAAATAAAAAATTTGTCGTCCTTCTTCTCTATATTTTCGAATCTTTTTGAGATACTTTAAGCGCCATAAAACTATATCGGGCCTCTCAATCAAGGCGCTGCGCGCTGTTTCTTTTTTTTTGGTGACATACTTAAATTTTAAGTGTTTCAGCATACGCCACATCGACGTGCGGCTGAAATTGGGCAACATGTCGTCTTCATTGACAGCCTGTAAAATTTTGTTTATTGTTGGCATCTCACCCTTTAAAAAAATTTCGTGAACTTTTTTTCTAATGCACGATTTGTCGAAGTCGTCAATCTTTTCGATCAAATTAGGACGCTTTTTTAATGGGGCTGGTGCTTTTACTGTGCCACATTCCTTATATTGATTTAAAACACGGTAGACAGTAGTCTTTCCAATGCCTAAAATATCCGCGGTGTTCTTTTTCATGTCCATTTTTGATTTATATTTATCAACAGGCCATGTTTCTTGTACATATTTGAAAACATTAACAATCATATTTTTTTCGTTTTCTGAAATATGTGACACCTTGCGCTTCTTACGTGGTGACGTAAAGTCTTTAAACGGTTTTGATGTCGATGGACCTGGCTCCATGTCGCATCAAATGTTGTAAAACTCCGTAACACAAGTCACACACGAAAACAAAAGTAACAAAACACAAAGTTAACAATCCCGCCGCAAACAAAGCGCCGCCGTCCGAATGCAAGTTGAAACAGGTTTTTTATCTCTGACTGACCGGAGCTCTCAACCCACCCCGTACCTATAAACACGCTTCGATATCCAAACGATAGAAATGTAAGGCGAGCGACGGAATGCGACACGGATCGTTATATTTTTAAGGTAACATGGTACTTCGTGTCAATGATCGTTTTTTCGCCTAGCTGAGAAATACACTATAGAAGGTTGTTATTATAATATAACAAATGAGTGGTAGATATCGGTTTTGAGCAAGCGCAATCCGATAATCTACCTAAAGTTGATACCTTCATGGTATTTGATTATCTTAGTAATCATTTAAACTACACAAGCGCATAAATTCGTGGTTGGAAACTTCAGAGGTAAGCAAATCTCATTATCAACCTAATCAAAACAGCAGGATCTAGTAGGAAATAACTAAATAAGTAGGTCAGGAATACAGGGTCGTATTCAGGCCCGGGAATCTCATTGACTTGCGTATTGTTGTCGTCTAGTTTGACTAGACTGGTTTGACGCCTGAGCTCGTAGTAGAGATTTATTTATTTATTTATTCTATTTATTTATTTATTCTATACATCATCCTAAATAGAAAAAAGTTGGCGTGGTGGAAACACAAACTGGACACAGTTTTTCCGTCCACCAGGTCGTCGAAAATATTTAAATAATTAACCTATTACACACTCAGGCCAGTGACACACTATACAATATAACACCCCCACCAATAAACCATAAAAATTGCACGAACAACATATACCAATTGAAACAATGACGCTCCACAGCCGATGCAAGAAACCTGTTCTTGACGAGAAATTCTCATTCGAATACAGGATGTGTAATCGAATTTACATATTCGAACATGAACTAAATGACGACGTCCTACTTTTAGTTATGCATAATTTGTAATTGTTTGACTTATAAAGTAATTTTTTAATTTAAATTTGATATTGTTTCCTGTTACATTAGCAAATAGCGCAGCCGGTAAAGAGTTTAATAGATTTGGAATAATATAGTCTAATGTTTTTTTCCCATATAAATTATTGTATTTTGGTAAAAGAAATTCGTTTTTTAATTTTCTACGTGTTGTATAGTGATAATGAGTTTTAGTTGTTTTAAGGTAATTGTCTGTAAAGTAGTTTTCATTTAATAATGCTAGCTGCACTTTCTCTTGTATAGGTATAATTTTGAAAAATGCAAATAGCTTTCTATAGTCTTCTTTATATTGTGATTTTATTTTGTAAGGAGCAATTGCTTTTAAAATACGTATTTGTAATGAAAATATTTGATTAAGATAGGTTTTGCATGTTCTCCCATAGCTTGAAAGTCCATATGTTATAATAGATTCTGCTAGTGCTTTGTATAGCAGTAGCAGAGTATTGAGAGGTATTTTATTTTTTATTATAGTGAATTTGGCAAGTATCGCTCTTAGCCTTTCACAGACAGAATTAATGTGCATTTTCCAAGACATTCGGTCATCTATTGTAAGCCCCAGGTATTTGTGGTTATGAACTAATTCTAAGGCGTTGCAGTTACAGTTGATGGGGTACGAGTTATAGGAATGTGCACAAATGTGGTTGTGTAAGATTAAGTGGGGTGTACGTGCGCTTAGATTGTGACTGGATCGGATATGCATGAACTTTGTTTTATTCGGATTTAGTACAAGTCCCACGTCGTGGGACCATTTAGCCAATGTATCGAAATCAGATTGTAGCTTTGTTTCTGCTTCTTGTATGTTAGCCCCAGCGGCTACTAGGCATGTATCGTCTGCAAATTTGAATATCTGGCAATATTTTATTATGTTAGGTAATGTGTTAACGTAGGTAAGGTAATGCAAGGGTCCAATAACTGAGCCCTGAGCCGTACCTTCTGTTATGGATATTGGGAAACTTTCTTCGTTGCACACCTTAAAACGATAAGTTCTATCTTGCAGATAGTTTTCACACCACTTGAGCAGGTTTCCTCGTACTCCGCAGTCATTTAGGTTTTGTAGGATTACGCTGTGCCTTAATGTGTCGAATGCCTTGCTATAATCAATAAACACTACCAGGACATGATCCTTTTTATTTAAGTGCTTATAAATATGATCTGTGAATGCGGATAGTAATTGTGTGGTGTTTTTATTTGGTTGAAATCCGTATTGTTTGTTAGAAAGAATATTGTGTTTTTTATAATAACTTTGAATTTGTCCACATATGTATTTTTCAATTATTTTGTTGGCAGTATAGTTATTGGACGATAATTATTGTAGTTTTTTTTGCTACCATTTTTGTATATTGGTCGTACTATACCTGTTTTTAATAAATTAGGATATTGTCCAGTGTAAATGCTCGTGTTAATAAGATTAGCTATGGCTACGTTTATTTTATTACATAACATTTTAATGTCTATAGTTCGTATTCTATCTGCGCCTGGAGATTTTTTGTCGTTTAATGATTTTATTATCTTTGCAACAGATTTAGGGTCTGCTGACTGAAATCTCATACTAATATTTTCTGCTCGCCGGTATAAACTTGTATCCAACAGTGGATTTACACAGTTGGTTGCAACATTACTGATACTATTGTGGAAGGTAGTTGCAAAATTATTTGCAATATCTTTACACGTAACATTTTGATTTTCAAATGAGTTTTGTATAGCTACGTCAATGGATGTTTTAATTTTTCCTGTTAATCGGTTTAATATATCCCATAGATTTTTTAGATTGTTTTTATTAGCTTCTATATTGGTTCTAAGTGTTTTATTTTTAGTTTTATTTATTAATTTATTGACATAATTTCTGGTTTTATTATATTTTTGTTTAAGTATTAAGTTGTTTGGATCTTTTATATATTGTGTAAAAAGTTTATCTCTGTAATGACATGCTTTAATAATTCTATTATTAATCCAATGGTTACTGTTTCGATGAGTGTTAGATTTAAGTTTAACTGTATATTCTGATTTTTTATATGCTTGAGTTATGTTATTTTGTATGAAGTTGTATATGCCAATAGGACACTTCATTTCTACTGTCGGCTTCCAATCAATTTGCTCTAGAAGGGTCGTTAATTTATTTTTGTCAATTAATGTTTTATATGTTGGAACATCCTGTAGCTGTGCTTTAGTGCAAGCGAGCACGATCGCTCGATGGTCCGCTAGTTTTGTGCCAACCGCTGCAGTGTATAGGTCGTGTGTTTGGGATCGAGCGTATATGTGATCTATGCATGATTTTGTAACGATTCCTTTGTATAGTTCTGCCCTAGTGTATGTTGTGATCCCACACATAAGGCCTAAACTGTGTAATGTGTTGCAATATTTATGTTTTATAGGAATGTCTAGCTTTAGGTTTATATTAACGTCCCCCAATAGATACAAGTCTATATTTTTCTGGCAGTTACTCTTAATGATATTATGAAGTTCGTCAATAAACAGGCTCTTGCTTAGGCTAGGTGGGCGGTAAATAGCACAAATATGCTCAGTGTATTTCGTCTGAGTTGTGATGGTAAAGAGTATATTCTCGAAATGTTGGCTTTTTACAATTTGTATACTAAATTTATGTTTCTTTTTTACATAAACTAAGATACCACCACCTTTCCTACTGTTTCTGAGCGCTGAGAACATTTGATATCCATTTAAATTGTACAAACAACTGATTCTATCAGAAATGTTAACGTCTGTAACAACAATAACGTCAATGGTGTTAGCCGCATATACGTAGTCGGTCCCAAAGTTCTGTCATAAATGGAAATAATGATAAAAACAAAAGTACTGATCAGTTTGTAATGAGTGATATATCAATTCTTAGTACATTAATTAAGGAATAAAAAAGCATAAAAATATTCGAAATAACCTCCCTCATTTTTAATACAGGCCCTTAAGCGTCGCGGCCAGTCGTCTATCGCAGCACGCACCATATTCGTGTCGATTTCAGTCACTGGTTTTTTTAAAGATGACTTCAGATTCTCCAAATTTTCATGAGGTTTATCACAGACCTTCCTCTCTAAGCCCTGTCATAATTTCTGGTCCAAAGGATTAAGGTCCGGACTGGAGGAAGGCCAATCCTCATGTCTAATTAAGACGATGTTTTGACGCTCAAACCAGGCTTTAGTGGTCTTGGCTTTGTATGCAGACGCAGAGTCCTGCTGGAACACAAAGTGATGTCCCGCAAATAGGGTGCTGGACATGTCTTTGACAAGGCGATACAAAACCGTCTCTTGGTACACTGTAGCACTGGTTTTGACCCCCTTTTCGAAAAAATTAACCTCAGTTAGCCCGTAATAGGACACTCCCAACCAAACCATTACTGATGATGGATGATGTCCATGTTGCGACCTTGGAACTTTATTTTCAGCTTCTTCAGAACTCCTAGCGTACACTGTATAATTCTGTTTATTGTACTTCTCTTCAATATCGAAAAATTTTTCGTCCGTAAAGAGGATATCACGGTGTCGGTTTTTCGCGTACCGCTTAAACAACACCCGCGATCTCTTAAGCCTTATTGCTTTTAGACGAGCATTAAGTAAGTGCCCACTCTTTTTTGTATGCTCGTAGACCAAGATCTTCATTTAAAACCTTTTTTACTGTTTTCCTACTGACACCCATCTGCAAATCCATCAACTTCTGTTTTCGGACAGGATTTCTTACTATCCGCGCCTTGATAGCTTTGATTACTGCTGGTGTTCTTGCGGAGCGTGGCCAGCCAGTTCTTTTCTTGTCCTCAACACTGGAGACTTCAAGGTACCTATCAATAGTACCGTACACAAACCTAAGCGTTATATTCAAATTTTTGAGCAACTTGAAAATGGTACTCGGCGAGTGTCCACAGCGGTGCAACGCTATAACAACTATTCGGTTTACTTTCAATGTCCACTCCATCGTGAAAAATTACGGAAAGTTATTGTTTTTTGTTTTAAAACAATAATCAAACATTCCAAAATAGAATGCAATAATTTTTTTATAAAATCCTGCTCGAAATGTAGAAATAATGTGCTAGTGACAGAACTTTGGGACCAACTACGTATACATTGCTCGAGGCTAGCAAAATATTTTATGATTGACCTTATATTTATGTGTACACACAACAGATTTAAATGTTTGCTGGGTATTTTACTCACGAAATCATTTATGTTTATACAGTCTTCTAATTCACAAATATCACTAGTTAAACTATCCATATTAATAATAATAATTTATATGCAATTTAATTTGGGCAGTTAATTGACATTCTGTCTTTTTTTTTTAACACTTGTATATCCAATATAGATCTTAAGTTTTCTATTTTCGTGTTATCATCTTTTCTTGCACGAACCATACCGTTTTTAAACCAAACGTATTTATAGTTTTGTTTGTTCTTTAATTCCTGCTTGGCTTCCCATAAAATGCTTTTGTTGGATTTAGTCATTGCTTCCCTGATGAATACTATTTTGTTATTGTTGGGTTCATAGGGGCAAACATCGGCCACCATAGTTTTAATGGTTTTTGCAGCTTTAATCCACTTTTCTTGGGTCGCTTTATCAGTAAGTTTAACTCGTATAATGCCGGGTTGGTCGTATTTACCTTGGTATCGCATTGAGTTACGGATACCGTCGAAGGGCTGTTTAAGTTTTAATGCTACATTTTCAACTAATTTTATCACATTCTCTTCGCTCGCAGGGGGGACGTTTGCTATTTCTATAGAATTAGCAAGTTTCTTCTGTTCCATCTCATGGAAACGCTGCTCCAATACGCCTACCCTCAATTCGAGATTGTTGTTTTTTTGTAATAGTTCCGTGTTTTTTCTTTCTAAAGCTTTTATGGTATTTTTAAAGGCATCAATACAACCTAATACTTCATCCAACTTCGTACTGTGAAATTGCAGAGATTGGTTAAGTTCGCTTATATCCTTCTTTATAGTTTTTTTCCACCTCCTTGGAGATTTTATGTATTAGCCCCTTAGTGTCCATAGGTATATCCTCCTCTGCATCCTCTGTTAGAAACAAAGTGGAGTTTCGCTTCGGGGATTCATGCTGGCATTCCATACAAGTCCAATCTAGGCTTGGGGCCGCCTTTAATGCAGTTATCTGTTTGTTCGTAAGACCGCTGCATCTGGTATTTAGGTGTACCATTTTTTCACATCGGGCACATTCACATCCGGGCATCGATTTAGAAAACGTTTTATTACATTGGTCACAGATAAAATGTGCAATGACTAAAAAAAGGAAAATAAAGTTTTGTTAAAAATTATGATTTGACGAAAAAATCTAAAGCTCAAATACAGTTGCAAATGTTTTTTTGTAACAGAAACAAAGGATTATTTTGTGTAGCAGGTGTAGACTTTGAAAACAATCAAAAAGTGGACACACTGGAAGTGGAATATGATAACGAATACTGTATGAATCTTCTTGTAAAGGCAACAACATTTTGGAAGGAATATAGTCCCCAGACTAATTGACACGTAATTTCTTTTTGTAGACTTTGTAATAGGGATTACAATAAACGTATTATAGAAGATAAAAATGATTTTTATTTACTTTTCAGATATACTTTTAAATAAACAGTCCAGCAAATTGACAATACCACAGGCTATTGCCACTATATCATCCAATAGTTGAATATAAGAAATGTTGACAGTTGCATGAGGTCCAACCATTTGAAAGTCTCTTAATCTTCCAATGCTTCTTTCAACATGTACCCTCAACGCAGCAATCTTCTTTGTTTGCAACACTTCCTCTTTTTTGGGTTTTGAGCTTGAACTCACTTTAGGTGGTCTTAAAAGCTTACACTGTTTTTGTTCTAATAAATGGGCTATATTTTTGAATCCTCTGTCCGCCAAAACCAAACTCCCAGGTGTTAGTTCATCTAGAAACCCAGTCTTCAAAGATCGTGAAATCTGGGGTCCGCCCTCCAAACCCCTCATAAATAAAATTAATCATTCCATCAGGTGTAATAGAAATCAGAAATTTAATGGTGTTGCAATTTTTGTATTGCGACCAAGTTAATGTCTGGTGTGTGGCATTACTTGGTTTTTGAATTTGCACCTCGAAACAATCAATTATTGAGGTCACTTTCGAGTAACGCTTTCTAAATGGTATTGGTAAGTTATTCCTGACCTCTTCAGTCAGTGGAAAGGATATAAGCTCTTTCATGCATTGTGCAATTTTTGGAATAGCTTTTTGAATATACTTACAAATCAAACTTTCAGAGACACCAAAATGTATGGTAAGCATTGTGTTAGGCTCATGCCATCGAATTTTTCGTAAAATTACTATGATTTGAAGATTTGATAAACTTTGTAATTAAATATTCGCAAAGAGTTTAAAAAAAAGCGTAAAATACGTCTAGCGGTTTTCGCGTGAAAAGCGTACAACAGACAGACAGACAGACAAGAAATTCAAAAACAATATTTTTGGTTTCTATTGCGTGTATGGAGCTCTCATTACTCGATTATTAAAAAATATTCAATGTATTATAGAATTCACTTTGGCTACAGTTTTATTACCTACAGATACATATTCCCCAAGGCGGGAATGTTTCCCTTTGTTCCCGGAATGATCCCCTATATTCCGGGGAACTTCGGGAATATTCCCGGGAACGGCACATTTCATTTAGTTGAGCCTGAGTACGACCCTGGTTACCTTACCCGACTACTGAGGAAGGGTTATTTTAAACTTGTAATCAAACCACAACTTAAAATTATACACAATTTATTAGAATAAAAGTCTGACAGCATTTTGCCCTTACAATTACAAGTGTTATGATTTATTATGATCATTACATAACTAGATAGAGTTACGAAAACATGTGAGATCTTTTAGTTAATTCAATTTCAAGTTTTTATATGTTAACAACACTTATAATATTGATAATAATTATCAAAAAATCAGACTTCTTTTACAATACTTAAAAATCAGCACTGTTTTCTTAAGATTAAGTAAATCTCGTTGTCTTATGTATGAAACATCACTGAATATTGTAATTTTTAAAATTTTCGTCAAATGTAACATGACCTCTGCGAGATATATTAGGCTTCTGAAGGAACATTACAATATCATCGTAATGTTTAATTTCAGATATATCCTCCACGTCTGGGTAGTGAAAAGACATAAACCTACTGTTCTTTATTTTTCTCAAAAAATTCACGTTGGGTATATTATTTTCATTAACAGAAATAATATTCCCCACGTAATACTTCACTGACTTTTTGGTTATAAAACGCACTAGTATCCAGTCGTGAACTTCTAGATTCCTTCTGCCTACATTTGGTTCAAATTCTTCATTTCTTACTATATTTTCGTCATGATTTGAAAAATAATCATCAGTTACATTTTCATTGCATGTGTACAGCGACAAATTATCAAAATCTTCCATTTCCGCTAAATAATGTTCACCATAAAGATCTAAATCTTCACAGCTTATATCAGATCCATAAAAGCTAATATCTGTTTCAACTTCAGATTCTTCGTCGTAATCAACACACTTCTTTTGTTTTTTGGACCTTTTTTTAGATTTTTTAACAGCCTTTTTCTTCTTTAGTGAGTGTTTGGCTTCCTTGCTGCAATGGGGTTCTTTGTTTTCTTTTTTTGTAGGTTTTTTAATGTTCTTTTTTGCTTTATCTTCCTCTTCTTTTCTTTTTTTTTCTAAAAATTCTTCCCTTGTAATTACTTCACAACCTTTTGAAATTTTTGTTTTTTTCAGTTTCACTGTAGAATCACTTCGTTTAATGTTCTGCAATAGTAAAGTTTCGAAAGAATTTTTTTCTGAAGCAGACAAAATTCGATCTTCAATAGTGTTGATCTTGTTTGTGCTGAGTGTGTTTGAGTCGTTTAAGTTGTTAAATCCCATTCCTTGATTGTTTTCATTCAGTGTGATCTGTGTATCCTCTTTGGGTTCCTGGCTACTGTTTACCTTGTGGAGTACTATTTGCAAACTCAAATATTTCAAAGAAGGAATTTCTTTTCAAGATTTTTTAAATTGTTTAAATCTTTTCAGCGACTCAGGGTCAAATGTTTCTTCTGGAATAGCGTCTCTGTTGAATGGGTATATGCCGCCTTTTCTAAAGCCATTCCGTATAATATTAGGATTCAGTTCACGCCAAACTTCTCCAATAATGTGACTAAATTCATGTTTCGGCAACTTTTTACCTACATTCAATCGTTGCCATTGTACCAGTTTTTCGTCCCACTTACTTTAGAATCTATCTATGTTACCTAGTTCCGACATCCATTGGTCCCATGTATTTTTTCCTCGATTTATAATTAATGGTGGCAATTTATCACCAGCGGCGCTGGCAGTAAACAAGATCGTAACGTTATCTTTGCCAGATGATGCGATAGTTCTTGTACTGGCAAATCCACGGGCGCCAACAACTTTTGTTTTGTCAGGGTCATTTCCAAAACTTGACTCGTCCAGATTCCAAACTTTGGTCTGGTCCTCCTTTTAAATCCTGTTCATTCAAAACCTCTTCAAGGATATAAAAGTACTCGTTTACTATAAAAGGGTCACATGCGACTTTCCTGGACATCTCCACTGCTTGTGGCTTTTTTAAGGACAGATTGTGTCTTTTCTTGAAAGCAGAAAACCAATCATATCCAGGCCGGTTGTTTTTAAACGGGGTTAAGTAATTATTTTGAATCACATGTATGCTAACTAAATCTTTTTTTTTCTTGAGTCTTTGTCTAAGGCACACTTACGAAGATCTGTGGAAACTTTAAAATAATTGAATTTCTTCCCATCAATTAAATTTGTAATTGCACGTTTTTCTTTCCTACTTGTAGTTGTCGCAAATTTTTGTGTTATTTGTTTACTTAAAAGTTCGTCAAATAATTGCTTTTTGTCTTTTTCCTTATTCTCAGTGGTTTTAATCTCATTGCTTGTTTTTCTAGATAGTTTAAATATTTGTCTCTGTAAAACTCTAATTCTGGTTTTGTATCTGTTGACTAATAACATAAAACTTTGTTTTTGTTTTCTATGTTGCATTTTTAATGTTTTTATCTTTTTTATCAGTTTTAGCTCTGTATTACTTGGATTCGACTTCTTTTCTTTTTCTGCTTCTTTTAACGGATCTGCACTAATGTTGCCTTGCACATCTTATCCTAATGGGTCCCCGTATCAAGTCGGAAAATGCATATATTATCTATATAATAGTGTTCCTTTTACTCGATTAGGTACAATACTTTTTAAATAATTGAAATCGGTAAATTGGTTGCGAAGATATTACACATTTTGTACAAGTCAACCGCGGAGCGGCCGAAATGCTCATGTGACGTCACGATTTCCCTACCGCCCGCGTGCTCGCTCTCCGCCATTCATTTTTTAAAGTTTACTCGATCTGCGCGGGTCGTGTTGTGGTTTTGTGGTTTTTATGTGAAAATATGCCGCATTATAAGTACTGTATAGTACCGAAATGTACTAATACTTCAACTAGTACACCTGAAAAACTGTTTTTTAATGTGCTAAGGGACCTGAAAGTCCGCAAAAAATGGTGTACTGTCTAGAACAGGGATGACAGTACACCTTACATTACTCATGTGGTAAACAGTAACTTAGTAAAACTTGTTTACGAATGTTAAAGAAAAATACAGGGTCGTACTAGGTATATTTCAATGAGTAAATAAATGATAAAAAGTGTAAGTAGTGTTTAAATAGCACGCAGGTGTATAGTAATGCACGGACGGGCTGCAGGTGATTTTGTATCTACTAATAGGTACGAGCACAATCCGCGTAGAATCTGTGTGCGTCTGAACTGAACACTCTCTAACTGTGACCCTTAGTAACGTTATTTATTTATATATAACTCTTTTTAGTTTAGTATCAAAGCATTCGTATTTATTTTTTAACAATTACTCGTTTATTTTTGGATTCTTCTGAAGCATGTACTTCGTCACATATCCATCCGGAAATAGAAGAAAGCCAAGCACATACTTTATCGGATGTCCATCCAGAAATCGAGGAACCCCAAGTCAACGATTCTGATATATCTGCAGATAATGCAGATTGTAATATAATTTCATCAGATAGAGGAAATTTTGGTGACAATTTAACTGAATGCGAACGAAAAATAATTTTTAAATTGGGTCCATTTAAACCACAAGGACCATTTCCAAAAGTTTCAGAAAATAACCGACCTTTTTCAGCTTATTATTATTCATATTTCAATCAGGCAGGCATAAAAATTATAAGACCATGGTTATGTTATTCTAACGTTTTATACAAACCGTACTGTCACTTCTGTTGGTTATTAGCAGATCGTCAAAACAAATCGTACTCCTCTGCTTGGGTTAACGGTGTTTCGGTTAGAAGCAATTTCACACAAACTATTCTTGACCATGAAAAGTCACAGCAGTATATTAGTGCCTCACTCTCTTATAATAATTGGTTGCAAGGAAATACCATCGATACTCTATTGAAAAGTGAAATCGATAGTAAAATTACATTCTGGAGAGATGTACTGCATCGTATAATTAATGTTATAATTACTTTAGTATCTTGTAATCTACCTTTGAGGGGGCATGATTCTGATTCTGGCAATTTTATGGCAATTTCACGTCTGCTATCTAACTATGATGCAACTTTAAAAGAACTTTTTCTAAAACCGAAAGGTGAAATAAATTATTTAAGCCCTACGATTCAAAACGAAATTATTAGTTTGCTTGGTACTAACGTTAGGAACAGTATTATCTCAGACAGTCATTTGCCGTTGCTCGGTGCGTGTGCACGTGTGTGATTTCCTAAGTTTAGTGCAAAAAATAGTGTTTGTGTTTTAGACGCTTGGATACATTTTACGGATCTTGTATTGCACGTGATCGGTCAAGAAAGTCTGAATAAAAAATTGGAGTCGCAATTAAGAAGTTTCGTATACAAATTTTAAATCAACATATCCTACATATATTATAAGAAGAAGACGAAGATTTGAGTAGTAACGAACGGTCGAGACTGAACGCAAGAATAGCTTGCCGCCAACGCGTCGCCGGCGTACGCATTTACGCTTCTTAGGGTGACAATTCTTTCGATATATTACCCTCAATCAGAACTTTTAAACGACAGCTTAAACTTCGAACTTGAAAATGCCCAAAGTTCTTCGTACCCCACCTGCAAGCAATTTGCAGCAAACATCTTCTGATTCTGATGTATCTAAAATTGCTTCTGACTTCCCCACTCCAACTTTTGTGTCCCAACGTAACAAAAGATTCCGCCAATCAAGTGACGACGATGGACTTCCCTCTTTTAGAGATGAGTTCAGGAGTATGTTTGAGGAGTGGCAAAAATCCCAGGATACAAAGTTATCAAAACTGATTGCCGAGGTTATTGAGATAAAAGAACAGAACAAAGATATCAAACGCTCTAACGATGAAATTGAAAAATCGATGATTATGATCAATGAACTGTACGAAGATATGAAGAGGAAGGTGCAAGCTCTTGAGACGCAACACAAGCAAAGTCAGCTTCACATAGCTCAACTAGAAATGAAACTAGACGACATGCAACGATCATCAAAAGCATCCAGTATTGAAATACGGAATATACCCTTGCCGGAAAAACCGGAAAGCAAAGCCGAACTCTGCCAGATTGTTCAAAACACAGTGAAAGCTCTTCAGGTGAAAGTCGATAAAGCCGCAATCAGAGATGTGTTCCGTCTAAATGGTAGAGCTGGGAAGGGTACCATTATTGCCGAATTTACATCGGTGATAACAAAAAACGATGTGATCAATGGCTGTAAGGCCTACAATAAACAACACCCTGCACAACGACTAAACTCCGCCGCCTTGGGTTTTAAAAGCCCACCGACACCAATCTACGTCTCTGAAGCACTTACCAGTAAAGGACGTAGACTCTTCTTCCTGGCCAGAGATCTGGCAAAGAGCCGTAATTACAAGTTCTGCTGGACCAGCAACGGAAAGGTGTTTCTTCGCAAGACTCCCGACTCATCCCACATTGAGATTAAGGATGAAAATCAACTCATCTCGCTGAAAGCAGAGATGTGACTAGAAGTAGTTTACTCTTTTCCAAAATTTGTGGTTAGTTTGCAATTGCTAAAAGTCACCAAAAACGAAACATTTATTTTACATTTTATTACCAGGATAACATATATAGTAAGTAGTTTTAAGATAATTATCTCAGTTTTTACTGTTTTTCGAGTACTTTTAAAATACTATAATATTAACACATGCCTATACTTATATATACATACACAAATACAAAATATTCAACTAGTAACGTGTGTCATCTCTTCTCTTCATAAACGGAAATGGACAAGGATGATACTAATATTTTGCAAGAATTGGACACCGTCTCAAACATCACTGCCCAACAGTGCACTATCGATACATTTAATCATAGTGCACTTCAAATTGTTCCCTTTCTCTCAGTGGTTACTCAAAATATAAGAAGCATCCATAAAACATCAAATATTGACGACTTGGACATAAATATATCAACATTTAACATAAATATCGACGCAATAGTTCTAACTGAATGTAGAATAAACCCTGACAAACCACTCCCTCAAAAACATAATTATGTGACATATAATAGCACGAGAAAGGTTAACCAAAATGATGGTGTTGTAGTCTTCGTGAGAGAATCAATCGAGCACAGAGTTAAAGAAATACATCTACTAGGAGCATCATGTCTTGAAATAACTTTCCCGACATGTGCTGAAAGACAAACATTGATTTGTATCTATCGCCCATCAGGGGATAAAAACATCGAAAAATTTATTGATTCATTGGATAAATACCTCATGTTACCTCATTTAAAAACAAATGTGATACTTACTGGGGATATCAACATAAATACAATCGACGGTAATAATGACAAATTTTCAGGTACATACCTTGACATGT